CGGTCCGGCCTGCGGTTCCCACGGCCTGGGCGCCCCGAGACTGACTGGCTTACTAAACTGACCCCTCGTGTCCAGCTCTTCTCGAGTTGGGGACGCTGCCCCGCGGACTTGGACCTGGGTGGGGACGGAGGGTGGCGCGTAGGCCCTGCTGGTCGCTCTGCGGCGACCGTGTGACTCTCGGCCGGCCTGAGGGGAGGTCCCCTTGGGGGTGAGCGAGGAGGGCATGGAGGCGGGGCTGCCTTACCTGCCTGACCCGGCCTGGGGAGGAGCGGTGGCTGGCGGCCCGCAGTCGCTATCTCCGGGGACCCTGCCTACCCGCGCGACCTGTGAGGAGTAAACCCCGTCCTTTCACCCACTCTGGTTTCCTGTACTCGCATCAGGACCCACGTGTGCCTCTGCCGCGGTGGGCCCCGGGGTCACCATTTGCTGTTCCTGTGTCGCAGCCCCACGTCCAGGAAGAAGTTAAGGGACAGTTCTGGGCCTCCAGGCCTGGCGCAGCCCCTTCGAACTAGGGAAGCCAGCAGGGGGGTGGACAACATGGCTTTTTGGGAAAATACTTTAATTCACAGTCTCGCTACTGGTCGAGTTCAGAAAAGACATCTGTTGGGCTGCAGGGCGGGTGGCCGCTTGCTTCGCCAGGTCGCACGGGGTGCGGGTGGCCGTCACGGGGGCCCGCACAGGCCCCCGCCACAGCCCCCGCCCCTCCCGGCTGTTGATCCTGATGGCGGCACGCAGCGCCGACTTGACGGCCGTCTCCACCCAGCCGTGCGGGTAGGCGGTGTGCTCGCCTGCGAAGTAGATGCGGCCGGAGGGGACGGCCCAGTCGTGGTTCTCCCGGGCGTCCTTGGTTTGCCAGAGGTTCGGCGGCTGCACCACGAAGCCGCCGTGGTTTATCCGCCCAGCGCTTCACGATGCCTCTGCCATCCCAGAGCTGGTACACGAGCGGCCCATGCAGTGCCGCCACGTCGTCGAGCGCCAGGCGCAGGGCCTCCTTGGGGGTCAGGCCGGAGAACGCGGCTGCGGAGTCCGACCACGTGTACGAGGCCAGCAGCAGCGCGCCCTCGCCGGGCGGCGGGTAAAATATCATGCGCGATGGCCGGTCGGTGTTGGAGTGGCCGCCCTCGATGTGCTCCTCGTTCCAGAAGGGCCGGCGAAAGGTCAGGAACACCTTGGTGGCCGGCACGTAGTGCAGCCCGCGCAGCGCTTCCTGCCGCTGGCGCGACAGGGGCGGCCTGAAGGCCAAACGCTCGAGCGCGGGTCCACTCGCCGTCAGCAGCACCACGTCGGCCTTCAGCACCTTCAGACTCCGCGCTCCCTGCGAGGTCGCGACCTGCACGTGCACATCGTGTGGCTCCTGCTTGATCGCCACGACGGGCGCGTTCAGCAGCACGGGCCCGGACAGCGAGCTCAGCAGCGCGCGCGGCAGCAGGTCCCAGCCGCCCACTATGCGATTGTACCTGCAGGCGGGGCGCGCGCGTGACCGGGCCGCCCAGGCCCCGCCCCGCCGCCCAGGCCCCGCCCAGCAGTCTGGCCGCGCTCGCGCCGGTCCCCGAAGCCCGAGCAATAGAGGCTCGTGGAGCCGAGCCCGGAGGCCCGGGCGAGCCAGGCCAGCACGGAGCGGGAGCACCGCGCCTCTCCGCCCTGCGGGCCCTAACCCCTCCATCTGCGGGCCCCGACCCCAGTCCCGACGGCCCAGGCCCGTTTCCTGTCCCCGCCGCTCACCGGAGCCGGTCGCTGAGGCAGCTGTGGGCCCGCAAGGACTCGGCGAAGCTCAGATAGAAGAAGCCGTCCTTGGACATCACGTCTCCCAGGAGCCGCACGGCCGGCCGGCTCAGGTTCCCCTCCCCGAGGAGGTATTCCTGCGGGGCCAGGGCCAGGGCTGCCGGAGTCAGGACCAGCGGGCTGCACCTGCCGGCTCACTCCCCTCTCCCCTGGGGGCCTTCCCTGGCTGGGCCCCTCTGTGACAGGAGGGCGGTGGCAGGCCAAGTCTCAGCTTGTGCCTGCTGACTCCCTGGGAAGGACCTCATGGACACGCCCTCGCCGTTTCAGACGGTGAAGCAGAGACCCCACACACACTCACCAGCAGCGTGTGGCTCTCGAACTTCCTCATCGCCTGTTTGCAGCCCAGCTTCTTGAGATCTCTGAGGGCCTGTCGGAGAGCAGGCGGGCTGAGCGGGCTGGGCGACCGGGCTGGCCATCCAGTCCACCTTCTCTCACACCCTGGGCCTTCGCTCCGGGAGGTCGCCCCAAGTTGAGGCTCCTCACCGCAGCATCCACCCGCCAGCGGGTTGTCACCAGTCATCCCCCAGGGTATTATTTTGCCCAGGCTTGGATTATTGTTTCCTGGTGCTGTCACTATCCGTGGCTTGGGTCATTGTGGGCATGACAGAAGCCGGGTCCCACCTGCCTCCACCAGCACTGACCCTCCCTGGCCCACAGCTCCAGTCAGAAAACAGAATGCCAGCCCAGCCCGTGCACCCGGGGATCTGCCCCTGCCAGCCCCTAGGTCGCCACCCCTTAGGCAGCTCCGTTTCTGTCACTGACCAGAGCACCCCTGGGGCTCCCCACCTCCACACCCCAGGCCTGTTTTCCCTGCCTCATTCTCTCTCCTCCCACAAGTGTCACTTCTGTCTGGGTTCAACCCTGTTCTTTGTCCTGGCTCCTCCCGCAGGGCCAGGGAGCTCCTGAGGAAGGGGGCCCTTCACCCCTCACTCGCTTGCTCCTGAGTGAGCATTCAGTCCCCTGGCAGCAGCCTGGGCTCCCAGGACGGCTCTCCGTGCCAGGGCACAGAAACTGCCCGGTGCTCGGCCCCACCCTGTCCAGGGAAGGCGCTGGCTCTGAGGGATGAGCAGTTCCCTGGGTGGGGAAGGAAAAGAAAGGAAAAAGCCGTCCCCGGCAGGGGAGGCTGGGCGGCTGAGAAGCGGCTGGGATGAGGGGGCCAGGGGAGAAGAGGCCTGAGATGGGGGACACAGGGGTGGGAACGGGGCCCACAGGTGGTGGAGGTGGCTGGAGAGGGTGAGGGAAGGAGCCAGGATGACCCTGGGGGCTGCCTAGTGACGGGATGGCAGGGGATAGGGAACCGGAAGTGGTTTGGGGAGGCTGTTGAGCCCAGTGGAGCTGGAGGTGACACGGGGATGGCCAGGAGAGGTGGACGCAGGTCTGGGTCCAGGGGACTATGAGAGATCAGCCTGTAGGCCGCGGAAGTGGAGGAAGGCAGGGCCGTTCGCTGTGGCGTGTGAGTGAGAGGTGCAGAGAAGGCTGATGGGGCTCTGGGGGCCAGTGGTGTTCATGGGGGAGCCAGAGATGGAAGAGCAGCAGGGGGACAGGAAACGCCGGGCGGGGAGGTGGCGAGGGCAGGACAAGGGGCGCGAGCCGCCCACCTTGCTGAGAGCCATCTGGTAGATCTCCTCGGGCGAGTGGCCCTTCTCCTTGGGGGACAGGGCGTAGCCCAGCTTCTCGGGCATCTTCTCCACCACGTAGTTCCGCAGCCTGACGCTGCCCACCTCGGTCCAGGCGTTCTCGTCGTACTGCGTGAACTTGGTCAGGTTGAGCCCTAGGCTCTTGCAGAGCTGGTGGAGGATCCTGGGGGGAGGTTGGCGAGGGGCAGAGTGGGTGGGCAGTGAGCGGCCCTGTCCCTAGTGGGGCTTGGAGAAGGGAAAGGGGTGGGCGTGAGGTTGAGGCGGGACGTGCTATCAGGTCACCCATGCTGAGGGGTGCATGAGATGAGGACAAAGCTGAGGGCAGCCTGGGATTAGAAGGGACTGGGAGTGGGGCTGGCTTCCACTGGGGATCCGAATCCGGAGCAGGGACAGAGTTCGGGTTGGAGGGTTTGGGGATGGGAATGGGTTAGGGCCGTTGGTTATGCCTGGGCCGGTCTGGAGGGGACGGTGGGGCTGGCTTTGCAGGGCGGGGCTCACTGGGGGTCTCCCAGATGGGGTGGCCTGAGCATTGCAGGAGGCATGACTGTGAGTGAGGGCCTGGAGCTGGGAGAGCATGTGGTTTGCGTTGGGGGGAGCTAGGTTTAGGGGTCAGGGTTGAAATTTGCACTGAGCCCCACAGCAGGGCTTGAGTTGGGGTTCTGGTTGTGTCTTGGCACAGAGGCAGGGCCTGGGTGCTGGGTCAGGCCTCACCGGTGAGAGCTGGGCATGCGCATGGCTCCCAGTTCCCCAATCCAGCCCGTCTTCCGGTCCCGGTAGGTCAGGATGCGGCCCCCAATCCTGTTATCTGCCTCTAGGATGGTGACCTGAAGTGGGGGCAGGCAGGGCCCTTCAGCTCCTCCCGCTGACCACCCCGCCCACTCTGTGCACTTGCCCTTCCCACCCCACGCAGGCAGGGCTAGTTTGGGGGTGTGGGGGAAGCAGAACAGAGTGAGTAGTTCAGATGGCGGCAGGAAGGGTGCTGGCGGGATCGCAGAGGGACTTCCCAGCTCGGGCAGTGGGGGGATTCCCGTGCACCTAGAAATCCAGTGGGGGGATTCCCGTGCACCTAGAAATCCCTGGGCGGGCCCATTCTCACCCTTGGACCTCAGTGAGAGGGACAGTGGCTCAAGTCAGGGAACACACTTCCCCTCGTGGCGCTTCCATCTCCACCAACATGGATCGGGTCCCCCCCACCCCCGTCCCCAGTAGAGGACCTTTCGAGCCAGTGGGACTTTCCCCGGGATAAGAGTATGGGGTGGGGAAAGCCTGGGACACCCGAGGGCAGAGCAGGGTTCAGGCCTCTCTCCCCAGACCACCGAGGGTTGGGAGGGCAGGACAGATCCTGCCAACCACACCCCCACACCCTCACAGCCCTGAGCAAGGAAGGCCAGGTCTCTCCACCTGGGGACCCCGGCCTGCAGAGGAAGGACTCAAGGCAGCACTTACCTTGTGTCCAGCATCGCTGAGCACCTTGGCGGCCACCAGCCCTGCCACGCCAGCGCCAACCACAATCACCCGCTGGGGCTTTGAGGTCCGGCTGAGGCCCAAGGTCATCACCTTGAGCAGCTGCTCGTAGTCAGGGTCCTGCATGCATTTCTCAAAGGGGTCAGAGCTGGAGGCTGCCTTCCAGCCCAGGGAGGCCACCAGGCTGAGGATGGGCATGAGGACGAGGAGGCGCGGGGCTGGGGAACACAAGGACAGGGTCAGTGGGCGGGGTGGGGGTCTCCGCCCGACCCAGAGCCCCTTCCCTGACTACTTACCCAGTGGGGCCATGACTCTCGGGAGGGAGCCGGTGCCTGGGGTGGAGAAGAGGCCAGAGTGGACCAGGACTGCCTTTCTTTGGATGCCCCTGTCCCGCTCCCCGCCCTCCGCCCCCATTTCTGCAGGGCCCCCTGGCCTGGCCTGGCCTGGCTTCCCCACCCTTCTCTGCCCTGTCGCTGCACCCCTGCCCCAACAGATCCCCTGGCCTTTGCTCAGCCCCCTTCTCTTTTTTCTCTCCTCCCCTCTCAGTCTATTTCTGTGTGTCCCTGTCTGTCCCAAGTCTCTACCTCCAGCTCTGCGTGGACTGTAGCGCCACACCCCTGCTCTCTGCTCTCCCCTCCTTTCGCTGGCGGCCTCCCCTGCTCTCCTTAAATTGGCTGAGCCCCGCCCTCCCCTCCCTTTGGGAAACCGAGCTGGGGAAATGAAACTGCTTTCCTGGGCTGCAGCGCCAGATTCAGTCTAGGTGATGTTGGAGGGGGCAGCCACGCGGGGGCGGGGGAGAGGGGTCAGGAGTTAGCAAATGAGTCTCTTTTCTTCCTCTTGCCCCAAATAGTTTGGGGTGGCTGGGAGGCCGGAAATGAGTGCTCAGGTAACCGTGCTAACAGGGCCGTCCCGCAGCCAGCCCGTCCCTGACCCTGGGTTCCTGTCTACCCTCCCCTGTACCAGCTCTGCCTCCTTGATTCTTGGGGCAGGGGGTCAGAGGGTCTCTGGCTTTGGGGCTGCCTGTCCCTGGGTCAGGCAGGCCTTGTTTCTTGTCAGCTGCCACCTGCCCTGCAGGTTCTCGGTGGCTCCATGCCCATCCCGTGCGCTCTGAGCCTCTGCCTGCCTGACCCGGAGCCTGGCACCAGACACTGGGCAAGGCCCTGTCCACCCTGGGGCTCCTGACTGCCGCGTTGCGGGACTGAGCTAGTGGCCCAGCTAAGGATCTGGGAACGTCCCTGGAGCCGTGAGCCTGCTCCTGGGAACACAGGGACAGAGCCCCAGGGGCCAGGTCCATGAGGAGGTGGCCTTGCCCTTGCCCTGGCCCTGCACATGGCCCGCCTTCCTGCCTGTCTGGAGCCCCCAGTGGCACTCAGCTCAGGGCAGTGTGTGGCACCTCTGCGTTGTGGCCCCTCAGCCTTGGCCACTTTCTGCCTCTGGCCTTTGCCATCCTGTGGGGTGGTTTCTCTGAGGGGCAGCAGTAGTGAGAACCAGATCAGCCCCATCAGACAGCAGGGGTTCTGGGGACTTTAGCCCTGAAGGGGGTGGGGTGGAGAGGCAAGCAGACTTTCGCTGGGGGAGGGCGGGAACCTGTCGGTGAGGAGTTCCCCAGGCTTGTTTCCAAGAAAGAGCGAGAGGGAAACCGACACAGTGAAGGGGGGGGCTGCATCTGTGTGAGTCAGAAAACAGGCTGCTGGTGGGCAGGGGGAGGGGCAAGGGGCCGCAATCAGAGGGCCGCAGGGCAGGGGTGGGGGGGTGCTGTCCCACAGAGGGTGGCCGCTGGGGTACCCTTGCCCAGGCTGTGCAGCCATCGTGGCTCACACGCCTGCACTTGACAGAGAGGGAGACCGAGGCTCGGAGGTAGTGAGTGGAGGGGCGGAGGGCCCGAGACTGGAGTGGAAAGGGCCCTGGCAAGGTCCGGTGCCCAGCCCTCCCACAGTGCCAGGCAGCCTCCAGGCCGCGTCGGCTGGTCCTGTGCTCCGCTGACATGGTCCGGCTGGAGTCCCAGGGAGGCCACTGACCGCAGGGACGGAGGCACTTGTCCAGGGTTCACAGCAGGGAACTGCAGCGCTGAGGGCTCCTCAGGTCCCCCTGGTCCCCAGCCCCTGCCGGGAGGACCCAGTTCCACAGCCTAGTGACACTCTCCATGAGTGAAAGGAAACAGAAACCACTGTGGAAAGCCACGGGGCTCCTAGGGCCTGTCTGGCGGAGCTTAGGGTGCTGGGTGCCATGCAGAGAGGGCGGGCAGGGCCTGCTGGGGGCCCTGGGTCTCCGAGTCTCCCCACACAGGGCGCTGTCTGCTGCTCTCCCTGGCCCCAGGCACCCTAAGCTCTAGGGCAGAGGAACACAGCACCAGTCTCCCCCGCCGGAGGGGAAGGAGGGGACAGCGGTCCACAGGAGGGACCGGGAGGACAGGGCCTGCTCAGCTGCTTTGTCAATGATGGCTACTTGTAGGAGGACTGAGCTGTGCACCAGGCACTTCGTACTTCATCCACTCCAGGGACAACTCTGGCGAGTTCAGCAGCTCCATCTCAGCGAGGGACACTGTCGAGTCACCAGCGAGGCAGGGGCAGAGCCTGCTGGCTGGGGCTCTCAGCCATGCTGCCTCAGTAACAAGTTCGAGCTGGACAGGGCAGGTCCCTGCACCCAGCACACTCACCCAGAGGACCAGATTCTCGGGGCCCTGGCCTAGCAGCTCCGTCTCAGCGAGGGACACTGTCGAGTCACCAGCTAGGCAGGGGCAGAGCCTGGCTGGCCGGGGCTCTCAGCCATGCTGCCTCAGTAACAAGTTCGAGCTGGACAGGGCAGGTCCCTGCACCCAGCACACTCACCCAGAGGACCAGATTCTCGGGGCCCTGGCCTCTGCTCCTGCCCCAAGGCGTGTCATCCCCAAACGTCTCTAAGCAGTGTCCCAGGGGACGGGGCGCAGAGCCACTGGGCGAGGCATCTACAGACACCCAGGTCAGCTTACTTTGGGGATTGCTTTTCTCCTTTGGGCTTGTGTGTGCTGCTTCATGCCCTCTGGCATCTGTGGCTTTTGCAATGAAAGCAAATCATCCCAGTTAGTTAGTCTGAAGGGGTACTCCGGACCGGCCAGTGCCCAGTTAGGAAGACAGCAGGCTGGGGCAGGACTGCTGCTCATGGCCGCCGTGGAAATGGCTGGACTTTGCAGAATCCTTCCTGGGCAGACACGGACTGGGGGGAAAGGCCCATGGGGTACAGACTAGGGTGGAACAAACTGGGAAGGGGCAGTTTGGAGGTGTCCTGGGCATGTGGGCAGGTGAAACAGGACGCACCGTGAGAACGGGGCCGATGGGCCGGGTGGAGGGCCAGAGCGTGGAGGTCAGAGGGCAGGGTGTAAGGTGGGGGCCTTGGGGAAGGGGGAGGGGCAAAGTCCACTCTCTGTTGCAGCTGGTTTGGGGGTAGCCTGGCTTTATGATGGACTTTCTTTCTGGAAAACAAGATTAATCCCTTCAGGTCAAAACGGCCTCTGCTGAGGAACCCTACCCTATTCGGCTGATCTCTAGACCCATAATCATGGTTCTAATGGGACTTAGGTCACGGACGCGGCCTAAGACCTGGCCCCCGCCCATGGGGGGCCTCTGTGGCCCGTCAGGGCAGCTGATACGATTGGTAGCTACACAGATGTGCTGGGGACTGGGCCTTGTGTGTGCTTATGTATGTATATATGTATGTATGTGTATATGTATGTATGTGTATATGTATGTATGTATGTGTGCGTATATTCTTTTCTCTTAGTCTGTCCAAAGACACTGACTGGTCAGATTAACCTTTTTCTTGAGTCTGAGTAGGGCAGCCTGCCCAGGGAAAGCTCAGGAACCCAGACAGAAGTTGGGAAGTCCAACTGGATGGAGAGGAAGGTTGCAGAGCAGAGGATCGGCTTCTCTGAGGCCCGGACAGGGGACCCTCTCCCTCGGAGCCCTCCTGCCCCTCCACCCCATTTCCAGAACACCCTTAGGCTCCAAGTAGGGGGCACTCACTGCATGGCTGGCTCTGGGGGGCTCTCTCAGCACCCATGGCCTTTCTGGTCAGCCCAGGACAGAAGTCATCGTTGGGCGTGTGCAGAACTGGGGTCAATGGTGGTGGCTCTGTCCTGATGCCCTTGTTAGACCACAGATGTCAGCGTCCTGGTGAGGGGTCAGAGCAGTTGGGAGGCTAGAGAGGGCAGGCCCTCCTTTTTCAAATATATTTTATTATGGAGACTTTCAAACATACAGAAGCAGAGAGAACAAGATAAACCCAAGCTTACCCATTGCCTCATAGACTGCTTCATTCACTTTCCCTCTCCCCTCATTAGATTTTTTTAAAGAGATTTTTACTACAGGGCATGTGCACTTGCTCAGGGGAGAGAGATCAGAAAGTAAGAAATCACCCCCTAGAGGAGATGGACATACCACACCCTCTCCTACATTCTCCTCTTAGGATTTTGGGCATGCATGCACAAGCACCCAGTGTGAGTTTGAAGCCATCAGGTCTGGAACTTGGAACCACATTGGTCATGTGGGAGTCCAGTGACGTACCATTCCGCCATCTGCTGGTCCTTCACTGGATTCTTTTTTTTTTTGGAGAGGTTTTTGCTATAGGGTGCGTGGGCTCGCCAGACAGAGGAGGGACAGAAAGCGAGAAATCACCCCCCAGGGGGGATGGCCCCACCACTACCACAAGCCCTTCTTCTTCATTCTCCTCTCGGGATCTTGGGCATGCACGCACACGCGACCGGTGTGAGTTTTAAGCCACCGGGTCCAGGACGTGAGTCCAGTGACATAGCCATTAAGCTAACTGCTGGTCCCTCACTGGATTATTTAAAAGTGGATATTAGACATCACATTGTTTTATAGGTAAATGCTTCAGAATGTTTTTCTAAAATAAGGGGTGACAAATATCTTCTAGAAATATAGGAGGCTCTGTAGACACCTGTTTAGTCTCAATGACAGTCATCCCTTGGTATCAGTGGGACACCTGGTTCCAGGATCCCCAAAGCTGCCCCAATCCACAGATGGTCTTCTTTTATATAAAGGGTGAGGCCGGCAGGTTGCGTGGTGATTAAAGGGGGTGGACTTCCACATGGCCAACTGCAGTTGAAGGCCTGGGCCTGGTGACTTGCTTTCTCACTTTCCCTCTCTCTGGTCAAATTAAAAACAATGATAACACAGCGCTGGCAGGTGGCGTGGTGGGTAAGGCTGGACTCCCACGTGGCCAACCGCAGTTTGAGTCCCAGACCTGGCAGCTTGCTTTCTCACTTTCCCTCTCTCTCTCACTCGGTCCCACTCTAGTCAAATTTAAATAAATAAAGTTAAAAAAATAATAGAATAAATGAATAATTCTTTTTAAAAAAAGGTATACTATCTGCATGTAATCTACCCAGAGCCTCCCGTACACTTTAAACCATCTCTAGGTTATTTTTAATACCTAATACAATGTAAATGCTATGAAGTCACTGTACAGTTTTGTAAAATTTTATTCTTGTATCATTAAAAAAATTTGCCAGAGGGCCTATATGCCTGCCAGAGAGGGAGGGAGGAGGAGGAAACAACCCCCATAGGTCATGGTCACACCGCAATCCCTTCTCTTCCATTTCTCCATCCTGTCGGGATTCTGGGCATGCACATACACGCACCCAGCATGGTGTCCAAGTCATGGGGGCTGGGACTCGAACAGCAGTGGGACATGTGGGATTTGGCTTCCCTTTACTACTAGACTATAGGGCTGAACCAAAACCTCATTCCTTTTTTCCTTCAATTTTCCAGAGGGTGCATGTGCTCACTGGAAATGGATGGGGGCGGGGGGGGCAAGGAGAGAGCACTCCCCATGGGGCCTGCTCACACAGCTATCACTTGTCCTCCTTTCGGGACCTTGGACACACATGCACATACGCCTGGTATGTTTTTCTTTTTCTTTTTTTAGAGATGTTTTTTGCTATAGGGCATGTGTGCTTGCCAGAAAGACAGAGCGAGATAGAGAGACAGAAAGCGAGAAATCACCCCCAGGGGGATGGCCATGCCGCAATCCCTTCTCCTCCATTCTCCTTTTGGGATCTTGGGCACGCATGCACACACGCCAGGTGTGAGTTTAAGCCGCTGGGTCCAGGAACTGCAGTCGACTATATGGGAGTCCAGCAACATAGCCATTACACCAACTGCTGGTTCCACGTCTGGTATGTTTTTCAAGACACTGGGGCTGGGATTCTAACTATGGTAAGTTATGTGGGATCCAGCCCTGCTAAGCACCAGGCATGAGCTTGGCCCCTGTATTGTTATTTTTATATTTTTTTCTTTTGAGTAATTCTAGCCCAGGGTTGGCTGAATCCATGCGTGTGGAACTCGTGGGTATAGAGAGACAACTGTGCTCAACTCTGCCTTGCGAGCAGCCGTGACACCACATGGAGGTGAACAAGTGTGGCTGTTCTAATGAGGCATTTTCACAAATAGGAAGTGGGGCTAGTTTGCCAACCTCTGCTCTTAAAGTCCTGGCTTAAAAATAACCGACAATACCACTGTCACATTTTAAAATGGCAGTAATTCCTTAGTATCATTAAATCAGTATTCCCATTTCCTGGACTATCTCGTAATACTTTCCAACAGTTGGTTGTCTGAATTAATACAAATTAAGAGGCCTGGCTGTGGTACCACACACTGCGACGTGGTGCTCCCCAAGCTGAAACCACACGGGAGGCCAGGCTGCCGAGGCAGGAGGACTGAGTGCAGCTACAGCCTGGGCAACCTAGAAGAGCCTCTTTCTAAAAAAAATAAGACAAAACAAAGGTGAAAAAGAGCTGGGTATGGTGGCACGTATGTAGAACCTGGGAGGCTGAGGGTCAGGACATGGTAAGACTCATCTTAAAAATAAGATGGCTATAGGACCAGCAGTTAGCATAATGGCTATGTTGCTGGACTCCCATGTGGTTGACTGTGGTTCAAGTCCTGGACCCGGTGGCTTAAAACTCACACCACGCGCCTGTATGTGCGTGCCCAAGATCCCGAGAGGAGAATGGAGGAGAAGGGATTGTGGCGTGACCATCCCCCTGGGGGGTGATTTCTCTCTGTCTTTCTGGCAAGCACACTCGCCCTATAGCAAAAAAACTCTCAAAAAAATAAAAAATGGTGATGACGATTCAAAGCTGACCCTGATCCAGTCATTAATGGAGCCGGATCCCACACGGCCAGCCACACGGTGTTAACCCCAGCCCAGCAGCCTGAGGAACACACTGGGCACGTTCGCACGTGCCCCAAATCCCGACAGCGTGGAGTGGAGGGACTGCAGTGTGACCATGCCCTGTGGGTGCTTCCTTCCTCTCCCAGTCTCTGGCCAACAAGTGTGCCCTCTGGCAATTTAAAAAAGAAAAAAGATAGGAACCAGAGCCCGGACTGAATTTGAGTGATACCGAATGTCTTTGTCAGTAACCATGACTTCTGGTTCCATGGATTTGGGGGTCTGTCTCTTGAGAACCTGGGGGTCGGGGCTGGCAGGTAGGACAGTGGTTAAAGGCACTGAACTCCCACATGGCCCACGTTGGTTTGGGTCCTGAACCTAGTGGCTTGCTTTCTCACTCTCCCCTACCCCCTGCCTCTCTCTGATCATGCTGAAAAATAATGAAAAAAAAAATTTTATTTTAAAGAAGTTAAAGTAATTCTTTAAAAAAAGAAAGAAGCTGGGGGTTTGAAGTGACCCCAGGGCACTAGCCTGGGCGCTTGCAAGGCAAATGCCTGGTCTGGTTCCTGCCATGGGGAAATCCTTGGTGTTCATGAGGGGTGAACTGGATGGTCTAGAGGTGACACGGGATGGGGGTGTCCAGCTGAGTCACTGCGTCAAGTGACCAGTGCCAAGGCATGTGAGTCGGTGTGGGCCTGTGGGGGCAGGTGGGCGGTGGCTGGGACCAACCTTGCTCTTGATGGTGAAGGATCGCTCCTTGGGAAGTTCCAGAAAGAGCCACTGCCCTGAATACGTGAGGGCAAACTTAGAGCCCGAGTTTGGGGCTCGCTGAGAACCTGGGAGCAGTCATGCGATGGTGCTGGCTCATGAGAGCTGCCATATTCTCCTCAGTTTTCAGTTTTGCTTTGTCAGCTATTATTTAAAAAATTAATTAGGGCCAGCCTGTGGTGCGGTATTTAAGGCAGCTGAATTTCACATAGCCAACTGAGGGGTTTGAGTCCTGGACCCAGCAACTCGAAAAACACGCAGCGTGTTGGGGCTGGCGGATGACGCAGCAGTTACGTTGCTGGAATCCCATGTGGCCAATCACATATCAAGTCCTGGACCCCATGTCTGGAAACCCATGCTGGGCGCATGTGTGTGCATGCCCAAGACCCTGGGAGGAAACTGGAGAAGGAATTGTGGTGTGGTCATTACCCCAGGGAGGGAGGGTGATTTCTCACTTCCCCTCTCACTGTCTCTCTCTCTCTGCAGTGAGGGCACATGCTCTAAGGCAAAAACCTCCACCAGAAAATATAAAAAGAAAAACATGTTGGGTGTTAAGTACATGTGTGCCCAGGATCTTGAAGAGAAAGAAATGGAGAAAGGATTGTGGCATAACATTTTCCCTTTCTAAGCACACATACTCTGGCCAAAAAAAAAAAAAGTGATTAATTTTTAAAAAAGAATTATTTAATTTATTCACTCATTTATTTTAATTTGACCAGAAAGAGAGACAAACTAAACCACAGGTACAGGACTTGAACCGTGGTCTTCCATGTGGGAGTGTCCGGCACCTTAATCACCACACCACCTGCTGGTTTCAAGTGATTAAATTTTTAACTTTCTAGTTATCTGGCTATATATTTTTTACTTTGAGAGAGATTTTTGCTATAGGGTGTGTGCAGTCACCATAAAGACAGACAGAAAGTGAGAAATCACCCCTCAGGGGGGATGGCCACACCACAGTTCCTTCTCCATTCTCCTCTCGGGATCTTGGGCACACACACACGTGCCTGATGAGTTTAAGCCACCAGGTCCAGGACTCGAACTGAGGTCAACTACATGGGAGTCCAGCGAGGTAGCCATTACACCATCTGCTGGTTCCACAAATGGATCTTTTTGGTAGTATCAAACTTGACCTGCAATTCCGATCTACGGACCACTACTGATCTCTTCGTTGTATAAAATTCTTCCACGTAAACACTTAAACCATGAACTCTCAAGGCGGGGGGGGGGGGGTGGGGTGGCCATGCCACAGTCACCCTTCCTCCATCTTCTTCCTGGGATTTTGGGCACGCACACCTGCACAAAGCATGATTTTTGTTTGCTTTTTGCTATAGGGTGCATGTGCTTATGCCAGAGACAGTGAGAGGGAAAGTGCGAAACCACCTCGCCACAAGGGGGGATGGCCATACCACAATTCCTTCTCCACCTCCGTCTGAAATTTGGGGCATGCATGTACACATACCTAGTGTGATTGTCAAGCTGCCAGGTCCAGGACTCAAACCACAGTCAGCCATGTGGAAATCCAGTGCCTTAACTATCATGCCACCTGCTGGCCCCCATTATATATGCTCTTGAGGTGAATTTGTCACTACACAGGGTGTCTCTTCCCCACCTTTCTTCCTAGTGAAATTTAAAGAATACATTTTATTTAACTTTATTTTAACTTGACCAGAGAAGAGGGAGGGAGTGAGAGAGAGAGAAAGCAAGCTGCTGCCAGGTCTGAGACTCGAACCACGGTCAGCCATGTGGGAGTCCAGCACCCTTAACCGCCACGCCACCTGCCAGCCCCGGGTATCTCTTCCTAAGTCCATGTTCAGTGGCTACACACAGCTAGCTTGAAATCAGGACTGGTGGGAAACAAGCACCTGTGCGTGTGATCAGGCTCTCCCCTCCCCTTCTCCCCCGACCCAGCACCCCGCTGCTGCAGAACGGTTTGCTGCAGCCTCTCACAGACCAAGGCTACTTTTACTCTGGAAATCTGTTCCCTAAATCAGACCTTTCTGATGCCTAGCTGTGCCATATGGGGCAGGAGAATCATCCTGAGGAAGGGGCTGGGCCATAAGGCAGGTTGTCATTTGAGGCTTGAGATAGGAAGTTTAACCACAGCGGCTGGCAGGTGGCATGGTGGTTAAGGCACTGGACTCTCCCACATGACCAACCATGGTTCAAGTCCTGGATCTGGTGGCTTGTCTCCTCACTTTCCCTCTCTCTTTCTCTCCCCGGTCAAATTAAAAAATAATATTAAATAAAATTAAGTTTTTTTTTTTTAATAAAAAGTTTAACCATAAATCCAATGGTCACTTATCCCTAAACAAACAGGGAAAAGGCACAGAGTTTCTGAGGAGAAATTCACCTTTAAAGGCCTCTGACTCCAAACTGTGTCAGCACGCTTGCCGTCTTCATATTAATTAATGAAGAGGAACTTAAGCAGAGGCCACGTGTCTGGACTGGCAAGGAAGTGCATCTGTAAGTTTTCTTCCTGGAAAGGGAAACAATTACAATGAAGCCATCATCCACAGGGTGACACCCAGGCAGCTGGGACAGTCTTGAGGACCCCTCCCCTGACTCTTGCCAGAAAGTCTACTGGAGCCATTACCCACCCACGTGGGTCCAGAGCATCGAAGCTATTCCTTCTGATTCTAACCTCTTATGCTCTTTAGAGTGGAGTGTCTGCCCGAGATCCCTCAAGGTAGAAGAGAACAGGGAACCAGCAGTTAGTGTAATGGCTATGTCGCTGGACTCCCATGTAGTCAACTGCGGTTCGCGTCCCGGACCCGGTGGCTTAAAACTCACGCCGGGCGCGTGTGCGTGCGTGCCAAAGATCCCAAGAGGAGAATGGAGAAGGGATGGCGGCGTGACCATCCCCCCTGGGGGTGATTTCTCACTTTCTGTCTCTATGTCTCTGTCTGTCTGGCGAGCGCATGCGCCCTGTAGTGAAAACCTCTCAAAAAAAAAAAAAAATGGTAGAAGAGAACAGAACTTCAGTGTATTTTTATTTCAAAAATACAACCACAAGGGACTAGCAGTTATGTAATTAATAGCTATGTCACTGGACTCCCATGTAGTAGTCCGCGGTTTGCATACTGGATCCGGTGGCTTAAAACTCACGCTGGGTGCATGTGCGTGTGTGCCCAAGATCCTGAGAATGGAGATGGGATTGCGACGTGGCTATCCCTCCTGGGGGGGTGATTTCTCGCTTTCTGTCTGTCTCTGTCTGACGAGCGCATGCGCCCTATAGCAAAAACCTCTCAAAACAAAACAAAACAAAACAAAACAAAACAACCATAAGAAAGCAATTAAGTTTTAGGGCAGACCCATAGCCTCGTGGTTAAGGGAGCTGAATTCCACATGGCTAACTGCAGTTCAAATCCTGGCTCTGATGGCCTGAAAAACATGCTGGGCACATGTGCGTGCTTCCTCAAAACTTTCACAAGAGACGTGGGACTGTGGGGTGACCACACCTCGTTGGGGTGTGCTTTCTCCCTCTTTTCTCTGTTTCTCTTTGGCAAGTGCATGCATGCACCCTCTGGCAAAGTAAAAGAAAGTAATTAAGTTTTACTAATGTGGGACCAGCATTAGCGTTTAATGGCTATGTTGTTGGACTCCCATGTCGTCGACTGCAATTCGAGTCCCGGACCCGGTGGCTTAAACTCACGCCAGGCGTATGTGTGTGTGTCCAAGATCCCGAGAGAATGGAGAAGAGACTGCGGTGTGGCCATCCTCCCTGGGGGGTGATTTCTCGTTTTCTGTGTCTTTCTGGCGAGCACATGCACCCTCAAAAACCTCTCCAAAAAAAAAAAAAAAAAAAAAGCTTTTAATGGGCAAAATTGGAAAAAGCACACAAGACATGTATGCTCCATTTTTTCCAACTTATGATTGTGCGACTCCTGCCAGCAATCTTGTGGGCAAAGAAACATCACCCAGTGTTCCTAATTCCAATGTCGGGTCAGGATCTGGTGTGGAGGAGACAGTCCAAAAATAGACACCGAGTAAATTTAATAGGCAAAATACCAGCCACTTCCTCTTCTCTAGAGGGATTCAAGGCTTCCCTTGCAGAAAAAAGCCAGTCAGGGAGGACAAAGCTTTCAGGGAAGTGCTGGGGGCTATCCAGATCTTCCTTCTCTAGTTCAGGCCTTCACTCTCCCATGGCTTCTGCTTATACAGAATTTGTTTTTTGAAGCCCACAAAACCTAAGATAGTCCTTGGGGACCAGCAGTTAGCGTAATGGCTATGTCGTTGGACTCCCATGTAGTCGACCGCGGTTCACGTCCCAGACCCGGTGGCTTAAAACTCACGCCAGGCATGTGTGCGTGCATGCCCAAGATCCTGAGAGAATGGAGAAGGGATTGCAGCATTGCAATCCCCCCTGGGGGGTGATTTCTCGCTTTCTGTCTGTCTGTCTGGCGAGCACATGCGCCCTATAGTGAAAACCTCTCAAAACAAAAAAAAACAAACAAAAAAACCCAACAACAACAACAAACCTAAGATGGTCCAAGGACATGACATGATCACGACTTGGAAGCTATTTGAAAACTAGGCCATAAATTGCTAAAATGTGGAGTCCAGGTGAGCAGAGAATTGGCTGAGGGAGGTCAAAAGGCCAGACCCCCCCATGCCCCACACTCCAGGGGTGAGACCTAAGTGCTTGGCATCGTGCGAGCCCACAGGAGCTCAGAAAGCAGAGGTAGACAGGGGCCAGCCCGAATCTGCATCCCACCGTCCAACTACGACCAGCTAGCCCAGGCGCCAGTGCGAAATGCTGCCAAGGCCACCTATGGCTACTGAAGTCAACGGCTTAGGGCTGGTGCTGGATGACATAACATCCACATACATTCCGCTTTTTTTGGCTTGTTTTTAAAGAGCTGAGGGAGAGAGAGGGAAGCTAGCACCTCCATGGGTGCCACTGTGGTGCTCTCACCGTCCCTTCCCCTCCATCTCTCCTCTTGGGATTTTGGGCATGCACATTTGTCCACTGTGTTTCTCAAACTGCCAGGTCCGAGACTTGAACGCAAGGTCAGCCACGTGGGGCCAGCCCACCCTTCATGTCTATTGTAAGATGTAAGTCTACAATAAACACCTGGGCCCACTGCCAGAGTGGGAGGCTTGCCTGTGTGTTCCTCTTCTCCCATTAGCTCACCCAGCCCTTCCCAGAGGAAGCCACGACTTGAATGTGTGTACAACCCCCTCAACCCACCCTGTTTCACCACGCGCACCCCGTGTCTAGTTTTGCTGGTTTCTGTGCTTCAAATGAATGGCATCCCACTCGACAGTCTGCTCTCTTCCTCAGCCTTCTCCTCCTAACAGTGATCTGCAGCAACAGCAGCTTTGTGTCACAATTTTATTTAGGAAAGCTACATATAGTTGTAGGTATTCCAGAGAATGCAGCAACATGTAAAGACAAATACAGGACACAGGGATCCAGCACTGGCTTTGCCATCTACACCACGGAGCCTAACGCATCTGACAGAATTAATTTTGGCACTGAGAGGTTCAGAAATGAGTGTGCCACCACCGGCAACAGTGGCCCTTTCTGAAGACATTTCTGTGGAATGACACCATGCCAGATGTCCGCTCCATTACTCATTCAGAGAAGTGAACGGGACTGCAGGGGACACGACAGAAACAGTGGGCGAGGCTTGTAATCTACCGGTGCGACCAAGCAGCAGGCAGCGGCACAATCCGGCACAATGCAGTGTGGAAGCGTTACCAAGGGTGCCAGTGCGCGAGGGGATCCACAAGGCAGCCAGCCACCTGCCCCGGCTGCAGCAGCTGCGAAGCCTTCCCGGAAGAGAGGGGACCTAGGGTAAGACCTGGAGGCTGAGCAGGCACTAGCCAGAGGGAAGACCTCATGCTCCCACGTGCCCTTTCCTCGTACTCCGTCCTTCAGGTCCCTCAGCCCGCCTTTGCACCTTTGAAATTCTCTATCCCACTGTCTATTTGATTCACAATTCTCTTTATCTTGGGTGGTTAACTTACACCCCAGAACTAGCTTCCCTCTGCTCGGAGATTGGAGAGTCTTGAATCTTGGTATTTTTTTCACTGTGCATCGGGTGGAGGGGCCGCCAGTGCTGGCTGGGAAGGTTTTTCTTAGGGGAATCGTCACTTCCCCATTACTTCACTGGGGTAGAAGGATGGGTGGTGGTGCAGTAGGTGAAAAGGACCCAAAGAGACACAGAAGCACACAGAAACCACACCCGCTAGGCTGCTCTCTGGACCAAGGGGCTGGGAATACCTCTATTTGCTAGTGGGAAAAGTCAAACCACAAAACAATTCTCTCAACAGCACAACTGTTGGGAAGACAGGAACGGACAAGTGTCTCATTGTGATCAAAAACTGGGGAATGCAGCACATTCCCGGCTGAGCACCCTGAGAGCCCGCGGGCCCTCAAGAGGCCATCTGCTCAGTCGAATGTGATGCGGAAGCTGCGCTCCTGCTCCTTCCGACGTCCCTCACAGACCTTGGTCACTTCCTCCACTTTCCTCTGCAGCAGGGCCGAGTTCTGGTCGACCCACTGCAGCGAGTCCATGTGTGCGTTGAGGATCTTGCAGATCTGCTGCAGCGGGTCGCTGGTATCGGCGGGGCCCCCGGATGTGTTCAGGTGCTCGATGATGTCCTTGAGGTCCTGGGCCATGCGTTTCAGCTGTGCATCAATGTTCTCGGCCAGCTTGTAGGTCTTCTCGCGCTCCTCGTCAGCGTGCTGCAGGTAGATGGTGCCACTCTGCTCCTTGACCGACTCCTCCAGTGGGCTCAGCAGGTCTTCGAGCTCCTTCTGCTGGGACAGGATGAAGTCAAGCTCTTGGTCCAGCCTCTTTTGGTCTAGCTTCACCTTCTCCACCTCGCGATGCAGGCTGGTGATCTTCTCTCCATTCTCGATCAGCGTGCGGTCCCAGGCATTGACCTGGGTGGCCTGCTGGAGGAAGTGCCGCTCCTGGTCCTCCAGCTCCAGGCTCCACTTGTTGATCAGGCTCTCCAGTTGTGCGTAGGTCATCGCAGGACTGGAGGCAGCCCCGGTGGCTGCACTAGGCCCAGGCAGAGAGGTCACAGTGGCTGCTGCGTTGCTGGGGACCCCAGCTGGTGCCAACGGTTTTATATTCAAGGCAAAGCCGGTGGTGGTGGTGGTGGTGGTGGTGGCGGTGGCGCTGGCAGTGGTGGCAGCTGTAGTAGATGTTGCTGTGGAGGCACCAGAAACTGTTCCAGGGGCCTTTAAGCTGAAGCCCAGCGTCCCTGCTCCAGGAGCTCCAGTTGTGGTTGCTGGGGCACAGAGGGAGAGCCCAGTGGTGGCGGATGAGGTGGGAGCAGTTGCTATGGAGGCAAAGAGGGTGGGCCCAGTACCAGTGCTGGTGGCAGTGGGTGCAGGAGCGGCTGGCTGTGTGGCCCCTGCTCCGCTGGCTGCTGGGGTGGCAGGAGTGAAGGGTAATCCAGCAAGGACTGTGGGCTGGGCTGAGTTCCCCACAGAGCCGATGTTGAACCCAGAGGTGCCAGTCTGGCCCCTGCTGCCTCCAGTGAAGGAGAACCCTCCGGATGTGGTAGAGGGAGCAGCAGAGGTAGTGGAGGATCCAAACACAAAGCCAGTGGGTGCTGTCCCCTGGCTGGAGGTGGTGGTGCTTGCCACGGCATTGGTGAGGGTGCTGCTGCCGAGCCCAAAGCCACTGGGACTTGCTGTGGCTTGGGTGGCAGCTGTACTGCTCAGGTTTAGCTTTGGAACACTAATCCCTAAGGAAAATCCAGTTCCTCCCGAAGCAGGAGTTGTTGTTCCAAAACTGAATCCTGGAGTCTGAGTTGCTGGAGCTTGGGTTGTGAGTGAGAACAGGCCGGTGGAAGGGGCACTTGCAGCTGGCTGGGACGGGTTCCCAAAGTTAAACCCTCCAGTGCCGGAAGTGGAGAAGGAAAACCCTGTGGCAGGAGTGGTTGTTGCTGTCTTTGCAGTGCCAAACGTGAACCCGCCTGTAGGGGCCCCAGTACCTCCAAAATTAAACCCGCTCATGGCTCCAGACTCCGGTGACACCAGCTACTCCAGTTCCCAAAGTAGATCGTCAGTGTCCGCAACCTTGGGAAGATTTTTAAAGCAGAGAAGTGCTATGATTAGATGGTAGTTTTGGAAAAGCAACCTCAGTGGCGCTAGGACATGCACAATTTGGAGGGTGGTGGAACTGGGTAAGGACAAGTGACAACCCTACCTTCTCCTCCCAGGCCACCTCAGTCAAGCTCTATGACGTTAGGAAGAAAGATCCAGAAGCTCGGCCTGTGAGGAGGGCTGTGGGGCACGAGGGAGGGGGGCTCTCCTGAGTCCAGCAAGGAGAGGGTTCCCAGCAGATGCATCAAGAGGTAAACACTGGCCAGGAGAGAGCAAGAGGACAGACCTCGTGGATGGCTTCTCCAGGAGTCTCCTTCGCCCCCTGCTGTCACGGAGAAGCCCCCCGCCGGTGGCGGAGGAGGGGGGGGGGGGGGGGGGGAAGCAGGGGACAAAACCCTGAACCACCTCAGCCCCTGGGGAGGCGGTCACATTCGAGGTACTTGCAATGAGCTCTCTTTGCTGACTATAAGGACGTGTGTGTGGGCTGACCTGTCCAGGCCCTGAGCACCATTCCAGACCTGACGCAGAGGGATGACCCCAGAAACCAGGGCTGCAGGGCAGAGCCTGGGCTGCTGAAGTACCCCACCCCCTTCTAACTCAGAAGCAGGCACGGGATCTAAGTATCAAGCACCCAGTGCTTCTGGTTGCAACTGGTTCAAGGATACACTGAGCCCTGAGCCAGCCAATCAGAGGCCTCCCCTGGGATTTTCCTCAGGCCTCAGAGGTGGTGGGACCCTGCATCCACAGGATGAGCACACAGAGGGTGTGTACCTGGGTCTTCCCCATGGCAGGAGACAATGAGGTGACAATGATGGGTTGGGAGAGAGAGATAAACACCCTAAAAGCCCCATGGGCCAGCAATCTCCATCCCTTCTAAATGGACTTGGTTTTTTCAACTTCTAACTGAAAAGCCCTAGGAGCACCAGCTCCCAGTGGAAAGTAGAAGGCTACCGGGTGATAAAGAGGAAGTGGGCACAAGGACAGGGGCATTTCAAGGTAAATGTCACACACTGAGCCACGGTGGAGGCAGGCCCGGGAGGAGTGTTGGCCAGACACTCTGACCCTCACACAGTCCCGTCAGGAGGGAACAAGAGCAGAGGACTGTGGGTGCTGGAGAGGCTGAAGCCCACCAGCCTCACTCACCAACCTCCTCACCTAATGCAGTGACAGGGCGACGTGTCCACTTACGGGGTCAGTAATCTACCAGGCATAAGGGCAGGCAGTCTGCACCAGGCCTGCTGACACACGTACGGTATAGGATGTGACAGACTGAAGCAAGAGACCAACCAGCCATGGCAGAGCATGACCTCGGCTATGGCAATCAAAACAATGGAGACGGGGTTGGGAAGAGACAGGGGCAGCCTCCGCGTGGTGGGATGACGCAATGACTGGCTCCTTCTGCACTGCAGTAGTTCCAAATGTTCTCTACACAGTGGAGGAATCTAAGTGATAGGCTGAGGGTTCTGAAAGAAATCTCAAGTACGAGGCACAAATTCAACCTGAGCAAATGGCACTTACACAACCAAAGTTTTTTTTTTTTTTTGGAGAGGGTTCTTTTTTTTTTTGCTATAGGGTGTATGCGCTCGCAGACAGAGACAGACAGAAAGTGAGAAATCACCCCCCAGGGGGGATGGCCACGCCACAATCCCTTCTCCTCCATTCTCCTCTCGGGATCTTGGGCATGCTCGCACATGCGCCTGGTGTGAGTTTAAGCCACAGGGTCTGGGACTCGAACTACGTGAGAGTCCAGCGACATAGCCATTACGCTAACTGCTGGTCCCCCAAAGTTTATAATCGTGACGCGAGCAGGACACATCGCGGGGGTGTATTAAATAGGCTTCCCTTACAGGCTCTCTGTTGGCTCTCACTTTGCCTCAAAGGTGACGATGGCAGGGGGCCACGGACTAGGTGAGCGGGCACCACAGGCTGGGCTGGAAGCAGCTGAGTAGGTACATGCAAACCATGGCACATCTGGCCTGGTGCTTCAAGAGCCCTGTATGGTTCCAGGTGAGCTGGTGTGGGAGGCAGTCCACAGGTCCCCTGCAAAGGTGTCCACAGCCCAGTCCCTGGACCCTGGAAGCATGTTACTATTTGTGGCAGCAGGGACTACACAACTGTGTTTAAGAATCTTGAGATGGTTGGGAACCAGCAGTTAGCGTAATGGCTATCTTGCTGGACTCCCACGTAGTCGATCGCGGTTCACGTCCCAGACCTGGTGGCTTAAAACTCACGGCGGGCGCGTGTGCGTGCGTGCCCAAGATCCCGAGAGGAGAATGGAGGAAAAGGGATTGCGGCATGGCCACCCCCCCTGGGGGGTGATTTCTCGCTTTCTGTCTCTATGTCTCTCTCTGTGCGTCTGGTGAGCACACGCGCCCTATAGCGAAAACCTCTCCCCAAAAAAAGGAATCTTAGAGGGCGAGATTCCCCGACTGCAGGGGTCCTAAATATAACCACGTGTCCTTGTAAAATGGAGATGCAGGAAGATCTGATTAGTGCCAAGGAGGCAGCCATGTGGATGATGGAAGGGGAATGATGCCTGTGGATCTGAAGACAGAGGAAGAGGGGCCACAAACCAAGGAATGTACAGGCCCCTAGAAGTGGAAAAAGGCAAGAAAACAGACTCCCCTCTAGAGCACCAGAGAGGACAGCCCTATCCGCACACATGGATTTTAGCCCCTTAATACTCATTTTGGGTTTCTGACCCTCCAAACTATAAGAGAAGTATGTGGCTTTAAAATTTCTGTTAAGAATTGTTTATTTGTGGGGCTGGCAAGTGGCATGGTGGTTAAGGATGCTGGACTCCCACATGGCCAACCACAGTTCAAGTCCCAAACCTGGCAGCTTGCATTCTCACTTTCCCTCTCTGGCTCTGTACCTCTCTGGTCAAATAAAAATAAAAATAAAATAATTTTTAAAAGAATGATTTCATTTTATTCATTCATTGATTTATTTTCATTTGACCAGAGAAAAGACAGACACGCACAGAGAGAAGGAAAGTGAGAAAGCAAGCCACCAGGCCCGGGACTCCAGCCATGGTTGGCCATTTGGGAGTGTCCAGTACCTTAACCACCGTGCCACCTGCTGGCCCCCGAGTTAAAATTATTCTAAAAAGTTGTTTATTTGGGGCCAAAGGTGGCCTGGTAGTCAAAGTGCTAGACTCACACATGGTCAACCACGATTCAAGTCCTAGATCTGGTGGTTTACTTTTTTACTTTCCCCCCTCTCTCTCTGGTCAAATTTAAAAAACTGTTCATTTAATTTTATCATTATCATCATTTTTTTTTTAGGTTTTAAAAATTATTTTATTCAATTTTATTTATTCATTAATTCATTTATTTTTATTTGACCAGAGAGACACGGTGAGAGAGAGGGAAAGTGAGAAAGCAAACCACCAGGTTCGGGACTCAAACCATGGTTGGCCATGTGGGAGTGTCCAGCGCCTTAACCACCATGCCACTTGCTGGTCCCAGTTTTTTTCCCCTTAGGGTGCACCAGAAAGACAGAGACAGACAGACAGAAAGCAAGAAATCACCCCACAGGGGGGATGGCCACACTGCAATACCTTCTCCATTCTCCTCTCGGGATCTTGGGCACGCACGCACACGTGCCCAGCGTGAGTTTAAGCCAACGGGTCCAGGACTCAAACCACGGTTGGATGCATGGGAATTCAGCAACATAGCCATTATGCTAACTGCTAGTCTCTTACCATTATTTTTTTAAAAAAGAATTATTTCTTCAATTTTATTTATTCATTCATTTACTTTCATTTGACCAGGGAAAGACAGACACACGGAGAGAAGGAAAGTGAGAAAGCAAGCCACCAGGCCCGGGACTCCAGCCATGGTTGGCCATTTGGGAGTGTCCAGTACCTTAACCACCGTGCCACCTGCTGGCCCCCGAGTTAAAATTATTCTAAAAAGTTGTTTATTTGGGGCCAAAGGTGGCCTGGTAGTCAAAGTGCTAGACTCACACATGGTCAACCACGATTCAAGTCCTAGATCTGGTGGTTTACTTTTTTACTTTCCCCCCTCTCTCTCTGGTCAAATTTAAAAAACTGTTCATTTAATTTTATCATTATCATCATTTTTTTTTTAGGTTTTAAAAATTATTTTATTCAATTTTATTTATTCATTAATTCATTTATTTTTATTTGACCAGAGAGACACGGTGAGAGAGAGGGAAAGTGAGAAAGCAAACCACCCACAGCCAACTACATGGGAGTCCAGCGACATAGCCATTATGCTAACTGCTGGTCCCCCTCATTATTATTTTTTAAAATTTGCTATAAGGCACTTGCACCCATGAGAGAGAAAGTGAAAAAGCAAGCTCCTAGGTCCAGAACTCAAACTGCAGTTGGCCAAGAGGGAGTCCAGCACCTCAACCGCCACGCCACTTGCTGGTCCCAGTACATGTTGTTTTAAGCTACAAGGTTTGTGATGGCCTGTAAGAGCAGCCAGAGGAAATGGGTAGCAAAAGATACCTGGCAGATGTGCAGTGTCACTCCCCTCGTGCTAGGGTCTCCAAGTGAGGCCCAGCTTCCTCCTCAGGAAAGGGGGTGACTGCTGCTGTGGCCACACAGGCCGGGCACTAGCTGGGGTACTCACTGTCACTGTGGCCTCAGGGTACACATGGAGTTGCGTTTTCCCCTTGGGGACTGTAGGCAGCAGCCAGATCTGGGCAACACAATGGTGACCTTTAAACACATGCAGAAACTTGGTTCTCTGGCTGCTGCTGCCTGCCTCTGTCAACTGCAAGGCGACATCAGTTAAAGGGAGCTATGTGTTAGCCAGAGAAGGCAGGAGGGAGAAGACACATCTTCAGCCAATTAACATCTGAAAACAACTGGCTTTGCATTTGCCCCCTGCCCCCTTTGCCACATAGAAGAATAAGCCTGGGCAGGGCTCAGGGCCACAGCTGCCTCCAGCAGTCTGAGCCAGCTGATCCAGCTCTTCTCGACTTGTGTCTTTGTGT